TTTTTATGAATTTAAGTTTTGTTCTTTATTTTCCTCTTACTCTAATTGGGATTTTCTGTAATGTCTCTGGTTAGAATGACCAGTGGTAGTAACTGGACTCTGGTCTATAAGGACCACTTAGAATATGAATGTTCCATACAGGATCATGGGGCAGTAATAGCAAAAATGGCAAATACTTAGGAGTAAATCTAATAAGATATGTGCATCTTCTATTGCAGTAAGCATTTTAAGAAATGGTATATTGTAACACTCTCAGTTCTAAATGTAGCTATATATTTAGAGCAACCCCAAAGGAATTTTTATAGACCTTTACTTTGGGGTAGGGAGGCACACAAGTTCTTTGCAAAAGACTTCTTTAAAATGTTAAAAAGGGGGGAAGCTCTGGTGGCCTAGTGGCAAGAAGCTGCACTGCAATCACAGAGGCGCATGGTTCGAATCCACCAGATGCTTTGCTGGGGAAGGAGGGACAATTTCCTCCTGTACCAGTCAGATCTAGTTTGACGGTATGTACACACACACACACACACACTAAAAAAAATTAAAATTTTAAAAAAAATTGTTAAAAAGGAAAATATGTCATCTTGAGGATTCAGGTGCCCTAACCCAAGCTATGTATAGTATTTTCAGTCATATCAAATCTGTGCAAAAGCTACACAAAGAATAAGGAAATCTAAATAATTGATTCCTTTGAATTATGGTGTGGGCAAAGAATGTTGAATAACCTTGGGATGCTGGAAGAATGAGCAAATGTATCTTAGAAGTACAGCCAGAATGCTCCTTAGAAGTGGGGATGGCAAAACTTGAAGGACATCATGCTTGTTAAAGTGAAGGGTCAGCAAAGAAGAAGATGACCTCATTGAGATGAATTGACACAGTGGCTGCGTTGGCCGGAGGAGGCGCAGAACTGGGCAGTGTTTGCCTCACCAGCTTGATGGCACCTAACAACATTTTTTGTGGAAATTGACAAGATGATTTTTAAATTAATGTAGAACTGCAAAGGCCAAGAGTAGCTAATCTAACATTGAGAAAAATGAAAGAAGTGAGAAAACTTGACTCTGACTCATGGAGACTGCAGGTGTGTTCCAAAGCATTTTCCTTAGTTGATTTTTTGGCAAGTAGATCACCAGGCCTTTCTTCTGAAATTCTTCTTGGTGAACTTGATTTAACCCTCAACCTTTCTTTCTTTTTTCTCTCTCTCTTTGTGTGTGTGTGTGTGTGTGTGTGTGATGTTTTTTCCTTTTTCATCCACTGTTGCACCTTCCCCTACCACCCCCCACTTCTCCAGCCTACCCTGCAGTACACCCCTTGTTCCAGATTGTTCTCATACATATAATGCATAATCACATATTCCTTTTGGACAGTTCTCCCCCTCATCTGTTCTAATGTAGTGTTTATTATTTGTCCACTCTTTCTCTATTCCTTCCCCAACACCTCCCCATATCTGTCCTATTTTATAACAGCAGTGCTATGAAGTATTTGTCTTTTGTGACTGAGATATTTCATTCAGCATCATGTCCTCAAGGCTCTCCCATATTGTGTAATGCTTTACTGTTTCATTGTTTTTCAGTGCTACGTTGTAGTCCATCATGTGAATGTACTGTAATTTTACTGTCCATTCATTTGTTGATGGGCATTCAGGTTGTTTCCATCTCTTTGCTATTGTGAATAATGCAGCAGTAAACCTGGGTATGCAACCCCCCAACCTTTTACATAGCAAGCAAAAGCATTAATTGGCATTAAATTACCAGTTCTCTCGTTCATTGCCTTTGGATGCCCTCCAGTGATTTTTTTTTTTTTCAAGAGACTATAAATCACACAGGAGATTTCTCATCTGTCTCCACTGGAGCTGCTGGTGTATTTGATCCACCAGAGAGGTACTGCCTTTGAGTTGACAGTGCAAGTCCCTATGGACTGTGCCAGCAGAGCTCTCCAGATTACCACATAAAACTATTTCTATTGTAAAAGTTACAGTAGTTAGACAGCCTGCTGTTAGGTAAGAGTAGGCAAAAAGATCAATGATGTTAGAGTCCAGAAAGAGACCTGTATGCATATGTCACTCAGCTAATGACAACAGTGACACTGAAGTGTGGTGGAGAAAATTAGGACCTTTTGAGTAAATGGTTCTGGTTCAAAATTCAAGGGAGGAACAAGCTTTTTATCTGGTAGTTTACATTATGTGTAAAATTAATCCTAGGTGAGTCCTTTGAGTCAATATATAAACAAAGCATTTCCTTGTGACCCTGGGGGTAGATAAGGATTTCAGCTTGGCACAGAGGCTATCAGCCATGGGAAGAAGTAGCTCTGCTGGTGTAGTGGGGACAAGTCAGGCTGCTGACTGGAAGTGAGCAGTTTGAAGCTCCCAGCTGCTCCTTGGGACAAGGTTGAGGCAGTCTCTTCTTGTAAAGGTGCACAGCCCTCCAAAGCCCAATAGAGGGTTGCTCTGAGTCAGAATGAACTCCATGGCACCGAGTTGGATTTGTTTTTTAGGTCACTGGAAAGATTGCTAAATTTAACTGGGTTATAATGAAGAACTCGTGCTCATTAGTAGGGAACTATAAGAAGAGTAAGAAGGTAAGCCATAGTGAAAATATTCCCAATATATAGAGCATGTGAAGAGCCCAAGGGGCACAATGCCAGGCTAATAGGAAGGTCGGGAGTTGAAGCCCACTAGCCACTCTGTGGGAGAAAGATGTGCCAATCTGATTCTTTGGTTTTGGGTTTTTTGGGTTTTTTTCTATCTCCAATAAAGGGTTTTTATACAGAATAAAGAGCTGCATCAAATAAGTAATAAAAAGCAAACAAAAACCATTACTGTGGAGTTAGTTCTGAGTCAGTTATAGTGACCCTATAGGACAATTTAGGATTGCCCTGTAGAATTTCCAAGGCTGTAAATCTTTATGGAAGCAGACTGTCACATCTTTCCCCACAGGGCAGCTGGTGAGTTCAGTCCACTAACATTTTGGTTAGCAGCTGAGCACTAACCCCCATGCCTCTGGGGCTCCTAGTAGGAAAAGGATACCCAGTGAAAAATAAGCATAGGTATTTCACCAAAGAAGATACTCAAATGGCCTATAATAACATGAGAAAGCCCTCCATTTCTTAGTCATCATGGAAACAAAACTCAAATTGACTCTGCCGTACATACACCCAGCAGAACGGCTCCACCGAGGAGGAAAAAGAACATCAACAGTGGAGACACAACAGTTGGACTCCCAGGCTGTGTCAGTGGTCACGTAACTGGACAAATTGCTATCCCTGTCTTGGCCTGTGCGGTAGTGGTTGCTTGTAACTCATAATGACCCTGTGTACAAGAACCCTAAATCCTGCTCTGTCCTATATAAAAACCTCATTGTCTCCGACACACCTACTCGCACTACCCCAATCACTGAATCGATCCATCTCATAGAGGGTCTTCCTCTCCTGCACCATCCCTCCACCCTCCCAAACGTGATGTCCTTCTCCAAGGACTGGTCCCTCCGTGCAGCATGCCCAAAGTATGTCAGACGAAGCTTCAGAATCCTACACTCCAAGGAGCAGCCTGGCTTCACCCTCTCCAGGACAAACCCACTTGTTCTCTTAGTAGTCCATGGTATATTCAACACTCTTCTTTAGTACCACAGCTCAAAGGCATCAATTCTCTGTCATCCCTAGTCATTGTCCAACCATTAGCGCATTTGACACATCAGTGTCACAGTGTTCAGCCTCACAGCAACCACAAGTTACCTCTGTACAGCAAGTGGACACACTAGGGCTGTACGACCTAGAGGAATGTTTGAACAAAAACAATGGAAAACAGGCCCGAGGGTGGCGGATTAAAAGTCACCCACCTTTGGCTTGGTAGCATCGTTTTCTGTCCACTGAGCCAACTGATCTCTATTTTTTTTTTTTAATCTCTCTCTATGTTATTGTTGTTAAGTGGCTTTGAGTCGCAGGCGACTCATGCGGACAGTGTGGGGTGGAGCTCTCCAATTAAAACAAGCTTGGAAGCAGGAGTGGCATCCACTTCCATTATAGCTTGCCTCCGGAAATCCTATGAACCTGGAGAGAGGATGAAAAACACACAAGCATGGAGGACTCTCCTTCATAGGGTCGCTATGAGTCGCCTGCAACTCAATGACTCAACGACTCAACGGCACTTAACAACAACACAGCCATTGTCCAGCTCTCCAATTTATAGCGTGCAATTGTGAAGACAATAGCCCAGATCAGGCACACCTTAGTCTCCAGCCTGACTCATTGCTCTTCAGTGCTCTGGAGAGGTCCCTGACAGCTGACTTTCCCAGTGCAATTCATCTCTTGATTTCCTGGCTGCTGGTACCAAAATTGTTGACTGTGGAGCCAAGCAAACGAGAACTGTCAACTGTCTCAATCTCTTCATCATCCATACTGACTGTGTGATGGTACTCAATAAATAAGTTCATTGTCTGTGAACTGCAAGCCAACCACGAGTTCTTTTCAACAGATGCCCTGCACTTTACAGCAGTCATTGACTGGAGCACCATGAGTTTTGCCTCAGCCCCGGCTGCAGGACCGTCTTCCCTAAGCCGTGGCTCCACCTTTCTAAATCTGCTTGCAGCCTGACTGCAGGCTTCCTGCTCGGCGTCTGACACTCAGCCATGTGGCTCCACTTGCTCTGTCAGCGTTACAATCACCTGGGGATTGTGTGTGACAGCCGGCGCCTGGGTCTTCTTCCCTCAGTCCTGCTGAGCCAGCTCCCTGAATGGGCTGCGGAAGGCTGGCTTCATCGAGCCAGTGCACACTGGAGTTTGCCGGTGGCTGTCTGCTACAGTTGAGTTCATGTATTCTTGGCTATTTAATGCTCCCAAGCATCAGTTGCCATTTTTTTGTGGGCAGTGAGTTTCCATCCTAATTTAATGGAATTTATGCTAATTTAATCTGAAAAACAGCATTGTGTATTATCCCTAAAGTACTACTAATAATCCCTGAGCCTGGCTTTTATTTCACTTTGTAATATTTAATTATTTTTTCTTCTCTGTTAGGTATCTGTACCATGTTTTGACCAAAAACACCACCGTTACAGAACAGAACCGGAACCTGCTGGTGGAGACCATCCGTTCTATTACCGAGATCCTGATTTGGGGAGATCAAAATGACAGCTCCGTCTTTGAGTATGGGTTCCTAATACATATTGGACTTTTTTGGTGATATTTTTTTTCTTTTCTTTTTAAATACTCCTCCTTTAACTGTTTTTCCTAAATGTGTTCCATGAGTCCTGATAATGTCAGGATTTGATGCTTTGAGCTGTAAAGATTTCTGTATCTATCTATATAAATGTCTTGAAACACCACAGAAATGCACGTCAAAAATGAGCAAGTTATGAGGAGTGTCTCTAGAAAAAGCTGAAGATAAAGGCATGTCTCAGAGATGGTGCAGATTCCATCCCAGACCTCCCCAGTAAAGCTGATGTTACAATAATGTGTCCCACAAATGTTTTCATTTCTCAGGGCATATAACACGTTATGTTTATACTGTACTATATACATGTATCTGTATCTATACTGTATATGTATTTACCGTACTATGTTTGATGAGGATGGCACAGGAAAGGACAGGGCTCACATCTGTCATTCATAGGGTTGCCATGAGTCGTGCTCAACTCAGTGGCACCTAACAACAACAGCATAGCCTGCTAAGTGTACAGTAGTGTCAGCAAAATGTTGGAAATATTAGAAGAATGAATCAAATGTTAACATTCAGACCTGAAGTTGGATGCACAATTGCCACAACCTTTAATTTGTGAAAAACACAGTATCTGCAAAGCACAGTAAAGGGAAATACAATAAAATAAGGGATGCTTGTGTTATGGGTTGTTTGCCAGGTAGACTCTGGGTCTCTTCCTGTAGAGAAGAGAGCCATCCTGGGTAGTTTGTTCCTAAATAAACGCTAAGAACTTTTCTGGCCCATCACATAGGTTGATATTTGTGGGGAGCTCTTGATAACATAATCCATTTTGAAAAGTCTCCCACCAACCCCAGGGTGGGGGGCCCTGTTGATATCCCCATGTCCTAGAGGTGGACACTGAAGCTTGAGGAGGTGGCTTCAGGGTTGCTAACTGGTCAGTGGTGAAATCGAGGCTCACAGTCAGGGCCATTTAAGAGTTTCCTCCTTGTTTTGGTACTTCCACATACACAATCTTGAGCTCAGGCTTCCTGAGCTGCACTTCCCTGCTCTTGAAAGGAGGAAGTAGTACTGACGAGTGCTTGCTACAGAGGAGACAGCCAGTACATGAAAGAAGATCATTCCAAAGCTGTCCCTTTGTTGTTGTTAGCTGCTAACGGTCCTCTGTTCATCCCCGTGCAACAAGGGAATGACGCATGACTAGATATAAATTGGACTGTTTTGATCCCTAGGATTGCCAGTTGGTCTTGTGTTTATTCCTGGGGAAGTCAAAAGATTATAATCCAATTAATAACAGAATACAGTTAAGACAGCTGCCAAAATGTGTATGCATACACGCCAGCCTGGAACCCCTTGCCTTCCGGCTGGTGGTTCCCAGCTTCTCAGTCCTCCCAGTATAGGCTCCCCCACGCTCGGGTCTCAACTTCTCCAGTTTGGCTCTTGGTGTCACTGATGTAGGTGTAGCTGGAGCAAGAAGGGTGTCCTACATTCTCTTGTTGTTGCTCAGTGGCATCAGAAGATTTGTCTGTCTCTAACTCTGGCTTGGTCAGTTCATTTGCAAGATTAGCCAATCTCCTTATGGAATGTTGAGACTGGCTTATCAGCTTGTCAAATTGTAGACATTGTTGTGTCATTTTTAGAAGTTGGTCACCAGGCCTTTCTTCGTAGTCTTAGTCTGAAGCGTCACTGAACCTGCTCATCATTATAGCAACACACAAGCTTCCACTGACAAATAGGAGGTGGCTGCACCTGAAATTCACTGGCTGGAATCAAAGCTGATTGACCTCCTGCATGGAAAGAGAAGTATTCTTTAGATGAAATACTAATATTTTCCTAGTGGTATTTCTAATAGCCTGTTAAAAAACAAAAGCTGTAAACCAGAACTACTTCCCTAAATATTTGCATGAAGGATTTGGGATTGAGTTATGACAGTCATCAAACATAGATTATGAATGTTAGGAGTATTGAGAACACTTTGATGAAAAACAATATGAAAAGATGTTCTGTTTTCTAGCTTGGCCTCTTATCCTAATTTGGGGATAGCTCTATATTTTCATCAGTAAGGTTAGTTAAGGTAAAGCTACTTATGAAAATTGCAAACGCCTTCAAAAGACAAGTCTTCTGTGACATTGGCCATGATCCCCAAAGGAAAGCATATGAATAAGAAAGTGAGAGTTAAGAATTGGGATCAGCTTTCTTTAAGGATCCATGGAGAATTTGGGGAAAAAAATGGTTTTGGTGTCTGTTTTTGGAAATGAGAAAGACCTTTGGGAAAATGATCTGGAACTGTGTCCTCTTTACTTACGTGGACTTTTCTTAGTCCCTCTGTAATGTGAACGAACTTCCTGGAACTCTTGCAACTTGTGGGTTCTAATAGGCCACCCAATAGAATCCCCAGGAGAGTTGGTTCTTAATAAGCTTTCTTTTTTAATGTTCTCTCTTTTATTTATTTAGTTTTGGTGAAAACATGTACAGCAGAACACACCACTTCAACAATTTCTTCATGCTCAATTCAGTGACATTAGTTTCTTCAGGTTGTGCCACCTTTCTCAACAACCTGTTTCAGAGTATTTCACCATCATTAGCACAAACCCTCTGTCCCCTGAAGCTTCTCACCAATGCTTTTCAAGTTGCCGCTTGTCAACACCATCACATAGAGTTAATTCTTTAAATGGATATAATGTTGAATGCATACATTTTTTTTCCTGATTAGGCTGAATTATTATTTGATTCAAAGGTGACGTCAGAAGATAATTTCAATTCGAAATTTAAAGATTTCCTCAAGGTAATAATAGTGACCTCGCAGGTGGCGTGGTCTATAAGGAGTAGTGCTGTTAACCCAACAGTCACAGCTCTCTGAGGGTTTGAATCCCCCTGCAATCCTGCAGGAGAAAGATGGGCAATCCTCTGTGTGATTTAAAACCTCCAAAACCCAGTGGAGGGTCAACTATGAGTTGGAAACGAGTTGACAGATTCAAGGTAATAGTTTCATGGGCACTTTGGCCTTAGTGGATGCCAAAAGTTTGAATTCCATGAAAATGTGAAATTCTCAAAACTAAGAAGCTTTCTATTTTGAAATAGTTGTAGATTTGTAAGAAAGTTGGAAAATAATATGAAAAGTATCCATACATCCTTCACCTAGTTTCCCCCAATGGTAACATCTTCCATTTTCACCTGCATCTATCACAACTCATAAACCATCAGGAGTATGTATGTCACTGTTAACCAAACTCCAGACTTGGCTTGAATTTCACCAGTTTTCCATTACTGTTCTTTCTGTTCCAGGACCTCATCCAGGATACTGTGTTGCGTTTAGTTGTGTTGTTTCTCCAGTGTCTTCTGGTTTGTCATGATTTCACTTGTGTTCTAGAGCTTTGAGAAGTACAGACCAGGCCTCCTGGAGAGTTATCTGGTGTTTTTCTTCTACTTATTCAGGCATTTGACGTTTTGAAAAAGATGACTGCAGGGGGGATGTGCCTTTTTACCTCATCAGGGATACATGGTGTCTGTCGACATCATTAGTGATTTGCTTTGAATAATAATCCACCTTGAGCAAGACAAGGGTGGCACAGGATATGGCAAGTTTTCCTGTTTTACACAGAGAATGAACACCGATGTGGGAGAGCTGTTGTTATGGACCATTGAGTCAGAATTGACTCACAGCTGACCTTCCAGCGAGTTTTAAAAGTGTAAATCACATGGGAGGAGAGTGCCATCTTCTGCGGAGCCACTGGTGGATTCAAACTGTGTGCCTTTGGGTTGTCAGTGCACTTCCTTACCACTAAGCCATCAGAGATCCCTGGTGGAAGGGGTAGCTATGTATAGTGTTTGGTCTTCTTCAGAGAAGATCGGTGTTAATAAGATTGAATTTCCTCATATCCACTAGCAGCTCTTCAAGAGGGAGCTGGGAAGTGTCCTCTCATTGTGATTTAAAGCCTCAGGAACCCGAGGGAGGGTTGAGGTCACCAGAATAGACACCGTAGTGTGTGGTTTTGAGTTTATTCATATCAGTGTGAACGCTGTGGTTGTTGTTATGTGCCGTCGAGTCGCCTGCGACTCATAGCAACCCTACATACAACAGACCTAAACTCCGCTCTGTCCTGTGCCAATCGCACTGTCTCTGACACTCCCATCCCAATTATCCCAGTCACTGAATCAATCCACCTCATAGAGGGCCTTCCTCTCCTGCGCCGTCCCTCCACCCTCCCAAGCATGATGTCCCTCTCTAAGGACCGGTCTCTCCTCACAACATGTCCAAAGTAAGTTAGACGGAGCCTCAGAATCCTTGCCTCCAAGGAGCCACCCGGTTTAACCCTCTCCAGGACAAATCTGTTTGTTTTCCTAGCAGTCCATGGTATTCTCAATACTCTTCTCCAGCACCACAGCTCAAAGGCATCAATTCTCCTCCTATCCTCCTTGGTCATGCAAGACTTTTTATTTTATGCTTTGGAGTATAACCTATTTCTACATTAGACATTTTACTGTTCCACCAATGGGAGTTCCTTCACATTGGCTTCTGCATCCCTTTATCATCTCTACCTCCCCACCTTTTTAAAATACTTCCTTCCTTCCTGGCATTACATGCTCCAGGCTTATCTTGCATATTCCCTGCTCCAGTCCCAGAGTCAGTCACTTAGCTCAGGAGCCTCCTGCTTCCTGCTGGGAGTTTCTAAAAATGTAGCTTTCTGCATTTCACACCAGACCTACTGAGCAAGGTCTAGAAACTCTGCTGAAAGACCCATTAGAATCTGCTAGGAGATTTGGTAAAATCTGCTTGAAGTCTCACTAGAATCTGCTAGAAGACCCATTGATAAAAGATCCATTAGAATCTTCTGAAAGACTCACTAGATTCTTCTAGAAGACCCATTAGAATCTGTTAGAAGACTTGCTAGAATCTGCTAGTAGACCCATTAGAATCTGCTGGAAGACTCACTAGAATCTCCTAGCATTCTGATAGCATCCTGGGCTGCTGGGCTCCAGTGAGTTTGTTGGGTGATATTTGAGAGCCACTAGACAGGCCTTTTCTTCCACAGAGCAACTAGTGCATGTGAGCTGTCGACCATCCATGCCTAATGGAGTTCTTTGTCTGATATGAGGAAGACCAAAATAGGCCATGATGAAATTCTGCAGGGATTAATTAAACAGCAGAATCATAGCTGGAAAAAATTGTAGGCATCTTTTCTAGGTCATATTCATTCATTGGTTTATTCACACTTGCATGAATTTAAACAGAAATTATACAGCACTGAGCAAGTGCCAGACACATGATCCTGTCACTGTGGAGCTGACAGGCGAGGGGAGAGAGACACCCAGAACCAAGTCAGCCAGCAGGGAGTCCTGTTGCTCCAAACAAGAGGTGCATGACCTTAGCTGGAGTATGTTAATAGAAACAATTAACGAGAAATCCTGTCTTTTGCCTTGAAATAAAGGCTTGTCTTCTTTTTCAAGATTAAAAAAAGCAATGTATACCTCAGCAGGCTAGTACCACCTTGGTTACAGGCTGGAAGGCAAAGCATGCGTGGAGCCTGGCTCGGTGCCTCCTCCATGTTAGCACCTTCTTCTTTCCTCCAAGTGCCCCCCCCCCCGCCCACCCCTGCAGCCTAACATCTGTGGAAGCTGCAGACTTTAATGTGGAAGCTAGAAACTCTTAATATTTCACCTATCTCACTCCTTTGCAAGGAACTCCAAGTTTTTGTTTGTTTCTGATTGTAAACCTTTAAAGATAAAAAGGCTTGTTGGTATATTCATTCCTGGTGATGGTCTTTACAAACTGGATGGCACATAATAGCAAAAGTTTATTTTCTTGTTGTTCTTGTTAAGTGCCGTCGAGTCGCAGGCGACTCATAACAACCCTATGAAGGAGAGTCCTCGACGCTTGGGTGTCTTTCATCTCTCTCCAGGTTCATAGGGTTTCCGGAGGCAAGCTATTACGGAAGTAGATGCTACTCCTCCTTCCAAGCTTGTTTTATTTGGGGAGCTCCACCCCACTCTCTGTCCACATTTGGTAGCCATCCATTAACGCATTTAACACATCAGTGTCACAGTGTTCAACCTCACAGCAACCAATTTTCTTAGAAGCTCTAAAGACTGGAATTGGGGTGTGAGCAGGACCATGCCCCCTTGGAAGGTCTGGGGGAGACCCTGTCTCATGCCTTTTTCTTAGCTCTGGGTAAACCTTGGCTTGTAAACGTGTCACTCTTGTCTTCATGCAGCATTCGTTCTTGTGTGCATCTGTGTCTCTTCTCTTATGAGGATACCAACCTCATCTGAGATGAACTCATCATCAAAGATCCTGTCTCCAAACACAGCTACTTGCAGACACAGGTCCTGAAGATTCAAACATTAACATAGCTTTTGTTGTTGTGTACTGTTGAGGCTGAACTGAGAGATAGCTGACCCTCTAGGAGGTTTTCAGAGGCAGTAAACTGCCCAGAAGACTTTGCCCGTCTTTCTGCCAAGGAGCAGCTGGTGGTTTTGAACCGTGTGCCTTTGGGTTGACAGTGCAAGTAGAAAATGCAGTCTCAATGGGAAAATGCTGCTTTTCACAATTACTCAGAATCATAAGCAAGCTGGCCTCTCCCAGCCTCAGAAATTCAGTTCACTGCTTCCCAGAGGTGGCACTGTTCGTGTTCTGGGAAGAGAACTTCGAGGGATGCGTTTATGGAGGATAGTACTGTGGGATCTGGGTGGTGTGGAAGTTGAGGGCATGCAGGTGACGTGACCTCTCTGCAGGTGCTTCAAGGGGTGAGGGAGGCCAGCACACGTGTGCACTGTGGTACCCAGCGGTTTCCAGTAAGTCACTGACTCTCCTGTTCTCTCCCCAGCTTCTTCCTGGAGAAGAACATGTTTGTTTTCTTCTTGAACATCCTGCGGCAGAAATCAGGGCGCTATGTGTGTGTTCAGCTGCTGCAGACCCTGAACATCCTCTTTGAGAATATCAGTCACGAGACCTCACTGTGTAAGGACGCGTTTCTTGACCTTTGACTTGGCGCCATTGTGTATTGCAAGCTCTAGTTTTGCTTTGCTTTCATGCTGCTTTTTGAATGTGTATACTTACTGTGTTCTTTGTTGAAGGAGTATGGTGAGGGGCCAAGAGACTTCCTGTTCTATTTTTTAGAGCTTATTAAAGAAGTGGGGTCCCTGCATGGTGAGTCAGTGGAGGCAAGGGAAGAAGTCAGTCAGCATGAGAAGCAGCAGGAAGAATTTGGCTACAAAGTCTAGAAGGCTGTAAGCTTCAGCCCCTGGCGTCACTGGTTCAAACCCAGCACTCCACTCACAGGGGCATGATTAGAGATGACTTCTCATCCTCTCTGAGCCCCAGTTTCTTCATTACTAACCACCACCCCGAAAAGCAGGGCTGGGGTCTCTTATTTTAATGCCAAATTTGAGCCACTGCTATGACTGCAGGCAAGACCAGGGTAGCCAAAGGGCTTTAAGGTCAAGTCTGTCTCAGGGGTTTTCAACCCGAAGGCCGTGGTGCCCCCTTAGGGGGCATTTGGCATGTAGTGAAACAGTATCCCGATTAGGGTGGAGGGCAGTGCTGATGGTGGTTAGAGGCCAGAGACGCTGCTCAGCATCCTGTAATGCGCAGGACAGCGCCACACCAGACTTTTCTAGTCCCAAATGTCAGTATTGCCGAGGTTGAGAACTCTTTCAGGTTGATCCAGGCCTTATTATACCAGTATAACTAAAGCCAGCCCCAGGCCCTGTAAGAAGCTGGAGAGGGAAGTCAGGTGACTGTGTGGAGACATCAGTCACCTGTCTTTTCACATGAGATGCGAGTAGATGATTCTGGTGGGCACTCCCCTTGGGGACGGGAGCTGGACAGAGGTTAACGTGTAGCTCTCAGAATCAGCCACAAGGTGGCGCTCCTGTCTCAGGAGCCTTCTGACGCGGCCCAATGCGCGTGCGCTGCACATGCCTCCCTAAGTGGTGATCATTGTTACCAGCTTCTGTTACACCGGGTGCAAAATGAGTGCGGTTTCTGAAAACTGAGAGCAGACTGCATCCACAGCCTGCGTCTGCCGCGTGCTCCCACGTGTGCTCTGGGAAGTGGAGTCTCCAGGCTGCGGCTCCTGCAAACTGGAGCACATTCCGTCTTGTGATCCCTGTGGGTCAGCGTGTTTGAGGCTTCCACGTGATAGATGTGTGCAGAGCTCAGCACTGGGCCTGGCAGATGTGTGAATGACTTGGAACTAAACTGGCATCCCCCAAAATGCCTGCGCTCTCGGAAAACCTTTTCTGAGCCCAGCAAGATTAAAGATGGCACCGAGGGATCAAAAATGGCTTCCAAAGGATTTTTCCTGGATCAAAGGATTCCCTCACCCCCTTTTTTAATACTGGAACTAAAAACTCTATACCCTGCTGCAAGCAACATGGACAGATGCTGCTGGCTTTCTAGAGGCTTCTCCAGTACTCTTTCATAAACTCTGAAAAAACAGCTGTCAACTATTTACAAAACAAGGAGAGAGATGGCTAGCTAGGCTTTGTTGTTATTTTTGTTTTCTCATCGTAGAAAGGACTAACGGCAATCACTGCGTCTCTCTGACTGCAACAGTGGGTCAAGCACAGCGCAGATTGTGAGGATAGCGTAGGATGGAGCAGAGCCATTCTACAGGGCCCCTGTGGGTCAGAGCACCTAACAACAACAGTCATCACAGGAAGGAAATATTCTCTTTGCTAAAAAAAAATCCCATACCAAAAACTACCCCACAGCAGTGTTCCCAAAGATAAAATACACGTTCCACATAGACTCCTCCTAACAGTCCAGCGTGACCTACAGCTGTGCGTTAGCTCTGTTTCCCCCCCCAGTATCTTAGGTCTTTTCACTATGCATTCATGTGTCTCTCTTGAGTTTGGCCTCAGAGTCACATCTGGCTGTCCCAATAATTTTTTTAGCGTGGCCCGTGGGCATTTAGGTGCTTTCCAGTTTTTCAGTATTACAACCGTCTTTTTCACGAATGCACCTGGTGTCTGTTGAGTCTGGTGACCTAAGTGACAGAGGACCCAGGAGACTTGTGATTACTTGCAAACTCCTGGGTTTATTAGAAAAGGTTCCCACAGGAAGTTGGTCGTGCCATGAGAGGGGGCAGTAGAAAACCCCAGCGGAATAATAGAGGCACCTCCACTGCCCCCATAGTGCCACCACCCACAGACTCCTCTCCTGGAGGCCCTGGCAAGGTCCCCGCTGGTGAGTAGATGAGCCTGGTTCTGCTCCAGCTCCACAGGGTGCCTGGGGGCTCCTGTGTGCAGGCCCATGGCTATGCGGCCAGCTGAGGTCTCTGATGGCACAGAAGTCACTTGCTGTCCCAACTAGGCTGAACAAAACATCCCACCACTTCCCTCTACTTGTCCCGAGGCACAGCCAGGTTGGCACAGAACAGAGGCACCAGACTCCCCTGGGCTGCTCATTTCAGGTTGAGACTCTAGGCAGTCAAGGAAGTTGTGGATGATTCAGAGAATGCAGTACCACATGGGCCACTCCACACCCCCCAGAAAAGGAATGGACTGCTAGTGTCAGACAACAACATGGGTAGCTCTCAAACATGGCAAAGGCAGATGAGAAGCAAGCAGGCTTGTGTGGGACTGTGTTTACGTGTAGTTCCCGAACAGGCAAAATGGATCTAGGTGATAGAGTACAGAATTATCTTTGGAGTGGGGCCACTGGCTGAGCAGGGCCACTGGGGAGTCCTTCAGAGCTGGAAGCACAAGGTGTCTGACCTGAGGGGTGCTTCCACAGTGTGCGGATGTGAGATGAGGTGTCTGCGTGCGCCTGCACATTTTGAGTATATGTAGAGCTGAAGCTGGGTGCGTATATTCATATATGGTAAGATGTACACTGAAGAATCATATATGTCACTTCAGCTGAAAACATACTAAGTAAGGCTATCAGGACCCCAGCCCAGAACCCCTCCCTCCCTTCCCCCCCCCCCCGAAAGGGCCTGGAATGGGCCTGGAATCTGCACTTCCCACACACCCAGGAATGGTTGTAAGTGATTGTGGACCTGGACTCTCGGACTAGACTTCACAGCTGGCCTGCTCGGCTTGCTCAGAGCTCTCCCAGTGCTTGTTTGTGAATGCAGTGGGCCTGTCCCGAGAGTGGGCTTTTGAAGAGAGCCCCCATGAACCCCTGGGCCTTCTCCCTGCTCCTGGGGGGCCATCGAGCTGTTTTGGAGATTCCATACAGCCTTTAGTTTGGGCCTGAGCTAGTTACATTTTTTTTTTAATTTAGGTTGTTTATTTTTCATTTCAATGAACATCTACAGAGATTTTGGGATTCCATTCATTCATTGTTGCACCCTTCTCCCCGCACAAACCCCTCCCCCCCCCATTTGCTCCTCTCCTTGAAAAGCAAAAGAAAAACTCCCTCATTGGTACACAATCCCGCTAGTTACATTTTTGATGCTGAAGAACTTAATGGAACATTTCCAGTTCATCCAAATGTTCAGTCCTAGGACTGCAGCAGTGGAGATTATAAATGTTCCAGAGACAGTAATAAGAATACAAACGGCAGTTGACATTGGTGAGCGCTTCCAGTGTGCCCACCACTGCCTCAGTGCTTACTTTTTCTTTTTTTGTGACACTTTTTTGTTGTTGTTGTTGTGTGCCATGGAGTCAGATCCAACTGGCCCAGTAGATTGCCCATCCTCCTCCAGCGGAGCATCTGGTGGATTCGAACTGCACGCCTTCAGGCGCCTCAGTGGTTTCACGCTTTAGTCCTTTCAGTCCTCACAAACAGAGGTCCCGCTGCCTGCCTTCTCAGCCAGGAAACTGAGGACTAGAAGGGTAGGCAACGTTCCCAGTGTTACACAGGCAAGAAGTGGCAGGAGTTAGGTCAGGGCACAGGCAATTGAAGTCCAAGGTGCCATTACAACCGAGGACCTCGGATATGCCCCTCCCCTCCGTGAGAATCGTGGGTCCATCTGCAGAGACCCTGAGGGCTGGCCTCTCCCCCACCTGTCCCTTCATCTCCAGGTGAGGCCAGCACTGCCTGTTGGGGACCCCCATGCAGGAGGAGGCTCTAAAAACCACCTGCAGCCAGGTATCTGCCTTTGGCTGCAGGTATCCACCTTGGTCTGTCTCTGGCCACAGGTGGAATGGAGCAGACTCACAGACTGGCAGCTCAGAAGACAGACAGCAGCACCTGCTTTTCAGGGTGACTGGTGAGGACACAGGCAAATGTGTCTAGCCAGGGCCTGCCAACCAGATGGCACTACATCTCCTCTGGAGGTCCATGCGTGCTGGCCAGCAGAGTTTCAAAAACTAGTTTGGCCAGCTCTCACCCGACTGGTCTTATATTTCCCCTGACCTCCAGGGGCAGGAACTGGGGGCGGCCAATCCAGGCTGCCCCATTGACCCAGATCCTTTTATTGTTGACCCTCATTGGTGACATCATACCCGAGTTCAGACCCTGTCTCTGCCACTTTCTCTGTGTCCTTGGGCAAGTTAATCAAAACACACTGAGCCTTTTTTCACTCGCCTGGACAGTGGGAAGATTGGGGAATGTCGTCTTGGTGAATTACAGTTGGACACCCTCAGTCTGGCGCCGGTGTTGAGCCTCAGTGGCCAGGGGCTGCTGTGACGTCGCATTACTGTATGGGGAGGGAAGAAATGAGCAGCCGTTTTTGGCATTTAAAGATGATGATGTGATTTTTATTGGCAAAATGGGGCAGCTTTTTATAGAACACTGTGCTTTTTACCCTCCTCTGTGGGTGGTTTGTGAACGGGCCCACGCATCAGTTCACCTCCCCTCCCTCGGCTCTGTGTTGAGCGTTTGCCCACAGTGAAACCAAAACATTCAGGCGTTTCTCCTATTTTAGTGTGTGTGCACGGGGTGGGGGTGGGGTGAGGGGGGCCTTTCTCTGGCCTTGTCGTTGAACTTCTAGTGACTGATGGGTGATTTCTTTTCTGGGTAAAAGGGAAGCTGCTCTCCCTGAGCGCCTTTAATCCCACCCACCCAGGACGCCTCTGATTGTTCCAGGATCCTCTGATCGTGGGCTGACATCTTCTGCTTTGACCTCCTGTGTGCATTAACCTGTCTGTTTTGCCTTTTTTTCTTTTTCTCCCCCTCCATCTAGATTATTTACTCTCTAATAATTACATAAATTCTATCATCGTTCATAAATTTGATTTTTCCGATGAGGAGATTATGGCATATTATATATCGTTCCTGAAAACGCTTTCGCTAAAACTCAACAACCACACTGTTCATTTCTTTTACAATGAGGTAAGTAACTACCCAACGGTACACTTTGGGGTGACACAGGCCAGCTCTAGCCTTCTATCCATCACCAAACACTTAAGCATTTGCTTTTACATGATTTTTTTCAGTAACACTGTTTAACTTTGGTGTGCGTAATTTTTTTTTTTTTAATTTGACAAATTACCTCTCCATCTTAAAGTAAAATTCCACTTCTACCACATGATAGCAGAGAAGAGAAGGGCTCGGAAGTTGACTTATGGGGACAGCATTGGGCTAGTGCCGTGGAAATGAGAGGACATTGAGCCAGGTCCAAGCTTTGTCGTGTCCCTGCTGTGTGACCTTTGGGAAGTCCCAGTTCCTCCCTGGGCCTCAGCTTCCTCATCTGGAAAAGGGGGATAGTCATACAGAAAGACCTGCAAAAGCCAAAATCCATGTAAGGTAGACACATGTCAAAGAAGGAAAATGAAAATATTTTGCACTAAAATGAGCATCAGAAAAGTGGTCTAACTGCACCGTGCCGAAGGCAGGAAACCTGTGTGACCTGGAAGAGCATGGCAGTCCCCTCCAGTGCCAGGTTCACAGTATATACCTTGCAGGATTTTTCAATGTTTGAAGGAAATATGTTCTCAGAGCACTTTGTGTGTACCTCGCTCCCTAAGTTGTAGTCCTTGTTGTCCTTTACATGCTGATGGCTCTGGTATTTCTTGGATGAATTAGTAACCATATAAGGAATTGAATGACTCTTACCCTGGAATGCCCTAGATAATTAAAAGGAACAATGTGGTCAGTTTCTTTCACATATCAAAGAGTATGCCAGCTGTGCTAGGGCTGGCCCATCCTATGGCTTCACCCACATCATCGAAGACCCAGGTTTCCCATCTCCCTGCCCTCCTAGTACAGTTGTCTCCAAGCATCGCAGATTCATATGCCGTCACCACAAAGCCCGAGGAGGTCACCTTCTCTCCTGGATCCTTATAAACTTTTTTTAACTTCCAAAAAGATAACTTTCCCAGAAGCCTTCCAGCCAACTTCCTTTCAGGTTTGCCCCGTCTGACTCCCCTCGCGTTTCTTCCTCTGTGTACCAGGAGTTTGGGAGCAGCCTGGCCGGGTAGGTGTCACAGAGTCAGTCATGTGGCTGTGGTCGTTTGAGGGCTGGACCTGGGCTGCGGGATCTCCTCCCACGGTCACGCCTTCATGTGACTAGTCAGTTGGCGGGAGGCCTCAGTTCCTCTCGCTTGACTGACCTGTGACTCACAGCGTGACATGGGCTTCCCCTGAACTGGTCATTCAAGAGAACTCGGCAGGCTGCAGTGTTTTCTATGACCTAGTCTTAGAGACAACCAGGGCTTCAAATCTGTTCAGAACAGTTCTGTAGTTGCTGTCAGAAAGAAGGGCTCCATGTGCATTGCATAGCGAGCAGATCTTTTGACCCAAGTAAGAAACAGGCAGCGGTGCCCTGCTTAAAGGCAGCGCCCAGCTGTGCCTCTTCGAATGTGTGTTGACAATAGTTTATGGTGGTGGTACTGAAGCCCTGGAAGTCAGCACTCCATGTTCTTTGGTCACACAGGTCAGCTCTGATTCCGTGTGAAAGGGGATGGGTGGGTGAATACGGGGGGAAGCTCACTGGGCCTTCGTGGAACTGATGCACAGCCAGGCGCTGTCCACAGGCAGACAGCATCTTCAGGATAGGCAGCCAGTATATTTGCAGTCAGATCGTATTCCTACATGTTCTCTGAGTTAGAGCCAAACCATCTAGTTTGACCCTAGAGTATGTAACAGTAATAGTTTGCACTTTGATTTCATTTCATCCTCTAGGAGAAGAAATGTTAGCCACAAAATATGTGGCAGTTTTACAATTTAACATCATGTGACCCAGTACCTGGCACATGGTGGGCCCTTAGTAGATGTGTCCAGGGAACACATGGTGGTTTGTTCTCAAGGCACCTCAAGGTGAAAGTTCAGATCAGAGAGCTGACCGGGTTCTCCTTCCACTCAGGAGTGGCTGGGCCTCAGCATACCCGGCAGAGGGCAGCCTGGGATTCTGGAGTAGTGAGGCTTCGGGAAGTAAGCCCAGCTCTCGAACGCTTGGAGCTTCATCTTGGAGAAGGGCTTGTCTCCTCTTTTATACGGGCCAGGGCAGTAGCTACCACTAAAGTGCATATATAACTTCCAGTCAACTTGTGCTGCTCTCATTGTCTTGACCTTTAATTTTCCCATGTTTTAGTTCCCATAACAAAAATACCTCAAGTAGGTAACTTCCAAAGACAAAAAATTATTTTCTCACAGTTCTAGAAGCTTTAAGTTCAAAACAGGGCCTTCGCCCTGTTAGTTCTGCTGTTACGTGGTAGGTTCTGGTGTCTATCTGCAAGCCTCAGAATTCCTTTACTTGTAGTTTGGCCTTCACATACCACCTGCCTGCCTTCCGTGTGTGTGTGTGTGTGTGTGTGTGTGTGTGTGTGTGTGTGTGTGTGTGTAATCTGCTCATTTTTAAATTAAGAGCTCATTAGATCTAGAGTGGGGAAGAGTGAAGAAAATCAAGGACACATGGGGACAGTCTGTAGTATTAATGGACCTGTGAACCTCAAACTCCATGACCTTGAGACCAGAGGAGCCAGGTCGTGCCCGGTTGGCACTGGTGACTGCTCTGAAAAAGGTCATAATAGAGAATCATTCTGAGCAGAGTAGCAGATAAGTGTGGCCATCAAAGTGGTCAGACTCCCTGGCCTGACGGAGCCTGGTGGAACCCCTGAGACTGCGGCCCATGGCTACCTTTTGAGCCTGACCTGTGACGATGGCCCAGTACACGACAGGGTTCTGATCTCCTGTTCATATGGTCACTGTGTGTCGCTGTTGACTTAATAGCGCCCAACAACAAACAGACCGGGGACTCTGCTTTCAACCAAACAGAAGCCAGGACCCAGCAACCTTCTAAGGCCTTATATAAGCAGCCATACAGAATCAAGGGCACAGCATTTAGGAGGTAGCTCAGTGGCAGGAAGGGACAGGATAGAAGGAAGGAGGGAAATAGCCACAGAGAGGAGATAACACATGTACTGTTACAGTGTGATGGTTGTAATCAGTGTCACAAAGCACATATGATAGCTTACATGGAATACCATCCTGCTTTGTAAACTTACACTCGAATCATGATAAAAAGGCGTTTTTTTAAAAAAACAAAACGCGAAACCGAACTGACTAGGTATACTACACTTCACTGGTATGTATGGCTTCTTCATTATGGGAAGAATCCTCTCCCCAAACAAGATTACATCCACAGGTACATGGGAGTCCAGTACATATTTTGGGGGAACACAATTCAGTCCATAACAGCCAGTTTAGGACCGGCTGGTTTAGATATGCTAATGGTGGCTGCTTTTCCAGCACTGCCTTGAGCACCTTCAAACCTCAGACCTTCTCTCCAAGTCTGTTCCTCCTGTGGAAAAATTGACCACAAGAGGGCAGCAAAGCCCACCATTGTTTGGCTCTAGGCCCAGATCCTCGGCTGGCCATTTCTAAGTCACAGATTCTGTTTTATCTGCTTCTGCGTGGTTTTGATGGTCCCTTTTTAAAGTCCTAAGATTCCTGGACTCCTCTTCCTTCCTGAAGATGTTTGCAGTTTTTGGTATTTCCAAAAAGGGAAATGTATAGGAGCCAAAAGAGACTTTAGAACGCTTGCTGAGTCAGAAATGACTGTCACTGACCCTCCAGCAGGTTTCTGAGGCTGTAAGGTGCATGGGAAGAGATTGCCTGTCCTTCTCCCTTGGTGCTTCTGGTCGATTCAGAACCACCAGAATGGTGTGGCCTTAGTAGTGCACCTCCCTGCAGGCTGTGCCAGCAGCTCTCCCTGAAGAGACTTCAGGGTTAGGACAGTTTTGCACCATTTGTCATTTATTAGTTGAAACAGCATCTATTGGGAACAGCATTGCTCCTGTTGTTTCTTCTCATCAGGCACTGTAGTGAGCTCTGGGCTCGAAATTATATTCTTTAATGTTAACCACCATGAAGTGTCCCTATTTTATGAGTAAACTGAAGTTTAGAAATTCTGCTTCACACAGCTGAGCAGAGGGAGAGCAGAGTCAGATTATAAATCTGGTCCCTTTAACTTTTGCTGTGGGCCTCTCCTTGTTTTTGCCCTGGTCCCACCTTTGCCCTGAAATCCGTGCACCTACCCCGACCCTCCCCAGCCCCGTTCCCCACTGGGTCTGAACCTCTGGCTGAAGATTCCCTTTGATAGTGCTTTGTGACTACAGCAGAATTCAGAATGGGGCAGGGGACAGCCCTCTCCGATGAGCTTCTAACCTCTTTCTGGTACTTTTTATGTTGTAGCACACTAACGACTTTGCCCTGTACACCGAAGCCATCAAGTTTTTTAATCATCCTGAGAGCATGGTTAGAATTGCTGTAAGAACCATAACTTTGAATGTCTACAAAGGTAAGCGTCCCCTGGAGCTCTGGCCCCCTCTCTTCTCACGGCATGTGTTTGCGTACATTTCTCCAGAAACAGCTTGGGAACTCACTTATTGTCAGCCATGATTGTTTGTCTCATAAATAACTTGTAACTGATGGGCATTTGGCTGGCCCCTTGCATACATTTTTGTGCCACTGACTTCTAGGAGGGGAAGGAGGATTACTCTAGGAGAAGCGCATGTGGGATTGAATAAGTCAGAACCTGTGGACAGCGTGTCAGAGAAGGAAAAATGCTGCTGGGCACCAGCTAGTTCCTCTCATCTCAGGGTGGTTTGAGTGGAAATTTTTTCCCTTCAAACAGGTGATAGGAAAGTTGTTAAGACTGCACCCTGCCAAAGGGGAAAATTTTTTGAAACCAGGAAAACAAGACAGTCCCAGTGAGTTCTGGCACTTACAGGTTTCACTGTAGTTAGATACAGCAAAGTTGTCTTTGAATTTTTGAATCAGTGTTTTGGCTTCAGTACAGTTAAGCATGAATTTCTCTGGATCACATGCAAAGGCAATTTCTGTCACAAACAGCAGAGGGCAGTAACGCATTCTGCTGCAGTTGCTTAACCCAGCACTGGCAAATCCCTCCTGTCTGCCGAGAGACACTCAATCCTCATAACACTGGCTCTGGGACAAAGCCCTGCCCTCGGTGGCTCTGCGCTGGTGCTCACAAAGGCTGGCTGGACCCAAGTTTCCCAAACCAGAGTTTTCCTCTAAGCAGTTCCCTAACAGGTCTCTGCCTAATAGGGGGTTCTGTCCCTCGTGGTCACCACATAAGAGCGGGGATTCCAGGTTCAAGGATCAAAGACCTTGAGCCATTACATGTTGGGGGTGTTATTTGGGGTGTTAATACTGGAGGACTTCCACTAGGGGTGGGGGTTCATTCCACCCAAGTTCTGGGATTGCATTAAATCGAAGAGGCTTGCTCAGAATTTATATAGAGGTTGCAAACTCAGGGCCTGAAGGCTGAATATGCTCCTCAAACATGGTTTAATTGGCCTAGATGTTATTTGGAGTGGGGAGGGGATGAGGAGGAAGAGCAATTGCCAGTATTTTTCAACTGGGAGACCTTGCATAAGAATTTGGATTTCTGACTTGAAAATGTGTAACTGGCTGCTCTGACACCCTCCATGGTCTTCTAGGGCAGTGGTCCAGTACCCTTTGGGGTCCACACCCTAGCTCCCCAGTTCACATGCTGGGCTTCGCAAGCTTTTCACATGGTCATTGGCCAGCCCTGCCAGCTTCTGAGTTTGCACCCCGGGTCTGTGGTGAGGTTCGGCTGCCTCCAGCTCTGTTTCTCTTGCTCTCTCCTAACTTGTCCCTTTCCATTTAGATGCCTCCTAGCCCTCTATCCCTCTGAGCAACTGTCTCACCACCTCAGTTCCTAACCCTTTTAACTGTTGTCTGTTTTTTGCCTTTCCTTCAATGATGATTCCTGTGTTCCTTATTCCAGTGTCATGTAAGTTCTTAACCTCTGGTTTTCTGCTTTCTTAACTTATCCTTACATGTAAATGCTGGAAACTGGCTTGCAAGCTCTGCTCTGTAGTGCATTAGTAATGTTGAGACTAATTGATGGTTTTTATAAATTAAAAAAACCAGTATTAGAAATACCTTAATAAGTACTATTTTATAAATAAAATAAACATTTCCAAGTATTTCCAGGAAAGACAGAGACACTTTGGGATGATAGTAGAGGGCTTTTTCTTTGTGGTTTTGTGGGGTGTTTTTAAACTTCCCTAAGTTATTTTTGGTAGCTTAACTTTATTTTTCCCCCTTTGTGAATTTTCTCAGTGGATAACCAGGCCATGCTGCACTATATCAGAGATAAGACAGCCGTTCCTTACTTCTCCAATTTGGTTTGGTTCATCGGGAGCCACGTGATTGAACTTGATAACTGTGTGCAGACGGACGAGGAGTGAGTGACCTTCCCTGGGTGCTTAGTGGATGGACAGAGGGTTATAGGAATATTCGGGTCTGCCTGTGTGTAGGCAGGTCACGAACGTCTGTGCATTGAAGGGTAAGAAACTGCACTGTAGTCCCAAAGGCACATGGTTTGAATCCACCAGCTGCTCTGTGGGAGAAGGACGGGCAGTTTCCTCCCATATGATTAACTGCCTCTGTAAACTTACTGGAGGGTCGGCCATGGGTCATTTATGACTGGGAAGACACACAATAACAACAACCTAAGAACTCTTCTCTTTCTAGTTGAAGAGATAAAGTGGGGGAAGTTGATTATGCAAACTGTTCAGGAAGATTCTTGTCAGTGGAGAAGTAAAGTTGATCATAGGTTGCAATCTAGGTTGTGAACTCCCTGTTCTGTTCTGTTTCTCCCAAATCAAGTGCCTTCTAGGAGATAAAAGGGGCAGGGTAAGATGGAATAAAGGGTTCTACCCACCTGTTTTTAATAATAGAATGCTGGAAATAACTCAGGTGCTTTACAGAAGCCTATCCACGCTCTATGTCCCTATACGACACCCAAGCCAAGCTCATTTCTGTTGAGTTGACTCCAACTCACAGTGACCCCATAGGACAGAGTAGAACTGCCCAGGCTTCCTAAGGCAGTGAGCTCTGTGGAAGCACACTGCTACGTCTTTCTGTGGGGGAGCAGCTGGTAGATTCAAACTTGACCCATTCCTGGGCAGCTGATAAATGGAGTAAGATGATGTGTGAGCTGAAGAAAAGATACACAGAAAGTGTGATCTGTCTGGAGCAGGAGTCCTCATTCTCTGTGCATTGCATTGACATTTTGGGCTGGGTATTCTGTTACATGGGTGGCTTCCCTGTGCTTAGTGGGATTTTGAGCCTTTGCCCACCAGATACCTGTAGCATCCTTCCATTCCGCCCCTCATGCCATCCTCCCCTGTAACAAGCAAAAATATCCTCTGTTGCTAAATGTCCCAGTGGGCAGACTGGTCCCCAGGTTGATGACTCCTGCTTTGCACAGACCAGATGGGACCAGGATGGTAAAGGAGCCAGGAAGGCAGCCTCCTGGTGGTGGTAGTGGGGGCTAATTAGAGGGGTCAGTCCGTTACTGGGAGAGGAGTGAGGGTAGGTAGATGGCTGATTTGCCAAAACGAAGGAGCTGTGAAAATCATAACTAGAGAACATGTGGAGATGCTGGGCTCCAGAAAGAGCAAAAGTTAGGCAAGGAAGGAAACGCAATCCTGGGCCCCTATTTGTCTCTGTTAAGACAGTTGTTGAGAACTGTAGAGCTTGGGTGTAAAGCAAAAGGACAGTGGTACAAACCCATATATCGGCCCAAGGAAGAAAGATCTGGCGGTCTGCTCTGTAAAGGTTACAGCCCAGAAAAACCTTGTGGCGCAGTTGTACTCTGCCCTATAGGGTTGCTGCGAGTCAAAATCCACTCACCTTTACTCAACAACCACCTCAGGACACAAATTCTGTCATAGCAGGAGATCAGTAGGTCATGTGTCAAATAGATCAATCACAAAATAGAAATCCATGCAGATTTTAGAGAAATAGGGGGGAAAGAACCCACAGAAACTACTTTCAGAGTTCAAAACTGCCACCTCTGAGTGGTTGGGGGTGGGATGGGGTGGAGTGGCTGGTAGATGGGGGGAGACTGAGCCAGCAGCTACTAGCTTGCATTATCAGCTGAATAATACACTCTGCGTTTTATTTACTTGAGTGAACGTTTACAAATCATACTGGTTTTCATGTAATCTTTCATATATATTTTAGTTAATAGCATTAATTAAAATTGACTCATTTAATTACACTGTTTGATCAACCTTTTATTTTGTGTGTGTGTTCCTATATAGATATATATTTTTTAAATTAATTTCTTTTAAATGAAAGTTTACAAATTGTTTATATACTGGTATTTTACTCAATCACTCATACATGTTTTATTTCATAATGTTAATTAAAATTGATTAATTATACTGGCCACCGTGTGTGTGTTTATATTAATTTATTTTATATGAATTAAAGTTTACAAAGCAAATTTAGGTTTCATTGAGTCGTTCATAGACATTTTGTTTTATGACATTAATTATAGTTGATTAATGCAGTTAACTAATTACAATGTCTAATCAAAACCTTATTGAATATTGTTTTCCCTTCATTCAGCTTATCTATTCATTAATTTTTAATCCCCTCTCTCTCCCATCTGATTCCTGACAACCATTCTAGAATGGTTCTGTGTATGAAGTCTTCCTTATATGTTCTTATTTTTACATCGAAATTCATATGTGGCCTAGTGGATAAGGACTTGTACTTCCAACCCAAAGATGTGTGGTTCAGTTCCACTAGCTGGCTCTGTAGCATAAAGATAGGAAATTTCCTTCCATGTAATTTACAGTCTCTGAAAAACCATTTAGAGGGTCAGCTATGAGGCGGTTCCTGGAGTTTGAGCTTGTTTTGTTTTTCATATGTTACTTTGATAAATTACAAAGCAATAGTACAAAAAGAATGAGGTGTATTAAATATCTTCTTGTAGGAAAGTGCTCATAGTAACTTACTAAGTGCCAAAACAGTTGCATTGTGAATGGTCTACGTATACAGAATTGATATTAATAATAATAATAATAGATACACAAGTATTCCTTTTATTATTAGGCTTTATGTATCTTTATAAGCACTTACTTAACATGTTTTTATTAAAGACAGAATCACTCATTACCATTAAGTTGATTCTGCCTTTTAGTGGTCCTCCATCAGGTTCCTGAAGCTGTCCATCTTACTGGGAAGAGACTCCCGTCTTTCTTTTGCAGAGTGGCTGGTGGATTTGAACTTGCAGAATCACAGCACTGTAGTTAGCAGTGTAGCACTCTGCAGACTATGAAGGAATTTCTCTCTCTCATTGCAGTAGAGTCAGAACCGCCTCACAGCGGACTCTCCACTCGGTTCCTGAGACTCTAAATTGCATGGGAGGCAAGTGCCCATCCTTCTTCCTTGGAGTGGCTGGTAGATTCACCAGCAGGCCCTTCGGCTGGCAGCACAGCTCCCCCTCCACTAAGCAACGAGAGCATTGCTGCTGTGTACCATTGAGTCGGAACCGACCCATAACTGACCCTCCAGTGGGTTTTCAGAGGCAATTGATGGCACGGGAGGACATTGTCCATCCTTCTCCTGAGGAGCTGCTGGATGGATTTGAACTGCGTGCCTTTGGGTTGCCAGCGTAACTCCATACCACTAGGTCATCAGAGCTCCCTACAGATGAATAGTTAGTTAAAATGATGTAAAAGAAGCAAAATGAATCATGATCTTACTCCTTGTTTTAACTGTGTGTGGTTAAATGAGTAGTTATTTGTAACACGAGCATTTTACACTTGACTGAAAGGAGCTGACAGCGTAGTGTGTACTATTTTGAGTTCTAATGGAAATGTCAGTGGTTCAGATTCACCAGCTACTCTGGAGCAGGGAATCTGGATTTTTAAACGGGAAAGGCAAGAATCCCGGGTGGTACAGTGGTTAGAGCTTGGCGCTAACTGAAGGGTAGGCAGCTCCAGCTCACCAGCTGTAGGAGGGAGGTATAGTTGGCTGCTCCCGTGATGAGTGTAGTCTTGGAAATGCTGTTGGCAGTTCTGGCCTTTAGGGTCATTATGAATCACAAGTCAACTGGACAGGGGCAGATTTGAATTTTTGGTAAAGGAAAGGAATAGAAATACATGCGTATGAACTGTAGGATTCTGAGTGCGTGATGTTCTTAGTGGCTGTTTTTATTAATGCTATCAAGTCCATTTCCTGGTGGTGTAGTGTGTTTAGTGCTAGGATGCCAACCTAAAGGTTGGAAGTTCCATCCTACCAGCTGCTCCACACACAGAAGGAAGATGGGCACTCAACTCCCATGAAGATAAACAGCTGTGGAAACCTTCAGGGTCTCTATGAGCCAGCTCTCTGTTAGTGGCAGGATTCAAGGACTTACCCTTCTCTTTGCTTTTTAGTCTTTAGTTTTCCATTTTTTCAGCACAAATATTACTTTAGAGAAGTAGTAATGATAGGAACTCTCACCTTTGCTAGAGTTCTGACGTTGGGGCTATTGCAGGTGTGACTAGTGGTCACTCTTTTAGGATGTGAGATGCTTCCACCGGAGAAGCCTACATAGTGTGCCGTTGCTCGGCTGCAAGAGAAACAGAGGTCTCCGGGCCGGGAATAGGAGGGGCCTGGGCTTGCCCTGTGTGTGGTCAAGGCCAGTGGAGAGGATGCGGCCACTGAGACCTGCTTTTTCTTCAGAACGCCTCTGGAGCATTTTAATTATCGAGGATTTATTGCTCCATTACCATTGCTTATCTTGGGAGACAGGATTTGCCACATTAACTAAGTGGCTGTTCTTGTGAAGTAGCTCGCAGAGAGTCTTCTCTTTGCTTTTGTGCTTTGTTTATCCCATTTGTTTTGGGCTCTGGTAGCAAGAGGGGGTCACGGGCGGGATGAGTTGCACTGAGGCCTCTCTAGGGTGAGGGTCCCCAAGAGTCCCCTGAAACAAACCACAGTGGACTTGCCCATTTTCACTTTGCTGCCTACCAGTGGAGGCCAGGATGGTGTCTTGAGATGGGCTAGAATATCAGATGGTTGAACGACCAGGTTCCCTGAGTGACCTGAGTCCCAGGCTGTTGATTTTGAACGTGCGCGCCCTGGGCGTTGGCTTCGGGCTGAGGTCGTTTCTTTCGGCAGGCACCGGAACCGGGAGAAGCTAAGTGACCTGGTGGCTGAGCACCTGGACCACCTGCACTATCTCAATGACATCCTCATCATCAACTGCGAGTTTCTCAACGACGTGCTCACAGATCACCTGCTCAACAGGCTCTTTCTGCCCCTCTACGTGTACTCCCTGGAGAATCAGGACAAGGTGGGTGTGCAGGGAACGCTGGGCCTGCCCTCATGTTGACATGGGGTCATCAATAGGGAGGAGCAAAGGCTGGGCCAGAAAACCTGCCCTGGTAAAAAACACCTTGGCCAAGGTCCAGATAGTCCTTTCCAAGAACACTGAATTTCCTTTCCTCTTATTTCCAATGTCAGTGAAACAGGAGAGAGAGAAAGAGAGAGTGAGTGTGTGTGTGTGTATGACAGTGGATGTGAGAGTGCATGTGTGCATGAGGATGTGTGAGTGTGTGAGAGTCTGTGTGAGTGTGTGAGAGTCTGTGTGAGTGAGAGAGTGTGTGTGTGTGTGTGTGTGTGTGTGTGTGTGAAAGCGTGGGTAAGAGATTGCCTATGATAGAGTGTGTGCGCGTGAGAGAGGGAGAGACTAAAAGTGAATGCGAGAGCGTGATTAGTGACAGCAGAAGGAAACAAGAAACCTCTGCAAATTTAGGGTTTTGGTTTCTGTGCATCCTTCCCTTGAGGTGTTTCCATCCCCGGTAACTTCTCCTGAGCGTTGCCAGAGCTCACGGACTTGGAGAAGATCCAGACGGCAAGCCGACTTGCTCAGAGGGGTGGAAGGGATGGCTCTGCACTGAGGAGCAGACTCAGCCTGTGGTTGTCCTCCCATCAGCCAGCCTTGGGTCCTTTGAGGGTGCTGTGCAGAGCTTAGGGTCTACCTTACCCTTGGGGGTCCGGGCTGAGACTAGGAAGCTCATATTTTACCTGCGAGCCAGGAGATTCTGAGCTGGTGGTGCTCCATTGCCCGCTTTGAGAAATGCCGCTTCCAGGAGGGGAGCCCTCCTGTCCACTGTGTCCATGGGGCCAAAATAAGAAGCTGAGGTTCGCAGACCAGTACTTCCTCTGTAGGCCTGTGGCCTCACATCTACAACCCAAGATGGGGTAGTTTTCTTTTGGGGAACGGAACACAGAGATTCTTACTAAAAATAAGTATATAAAGAAAAGAAAACTGTAGCCCTAATCAGATCTACCAGAGGCCACTCTGGGAGCCATTGACAAAACGAGAGGAATTGGGAGTTCTCAGGGTGAACCTTCCCTTTGCTGTGTGACCTTGGAAAAGGCAAATAACCTCTCTGAGTCCACGGCACCATTGCTAAAGATCTCTTGCAGATATAGGGTGACATTGGGTATCCTGAAACTTGGTACAAATGAGGCCAGATGTTTTGAAACCTTCCAAAGAACAGCCCTTCTGTCCCCCACCCCTCTCCACAATCCCTCTGCCCCTAGCTGGGCACCCCCACATTCTTGGTAATACAAAGAGCAGCCAGTCTGCAATCACTAAGAAGAGAAAGGAGCTCTGATGGGTGAGGAGTTGTACTGCCAACCCAAAGGGAGGAGGTTTGACTCTACCAGCTGCTTCTCGGGAGAAAGGTAGACATTCTCTTCCCATGCAGTTTATCGCCTCTGAAAACCCACTGGAGGGTCAGCTGTGAGTCAGTTCTGACTTAGCTGCCCGTAACAGCCACAATGATGGGAGCTTCCTCCAGTGGAAAAGCAGTGCTGTTGCACAGGATTGTGGGGGTTGAGTTTACAGATGGACTTTGCATCAAGGAAAGGATAAACCCAGGATCCTGGAGAAAGTTGGGGGCCAGGGAGCCCCTTATTCGTGCACTGCTTTTGGCTTCATGTATTTTACAGCACTTATTCAGTCTAGTCTGACTCTCTTTCTCCCCAACCTTCCCTAGGGAGGAGAACGCCCGAAAATCAGCCTGCCGGTTTCTCTCTATCTTCTCTCCCAGGTATGTTATTCTCATCACATATGGAGAATCCCTAGGATACTGTCAGGCCACGTTACCCCGTCCTCTCTCCCTGTATCCACCAGCTTGAAAGAAAAGAACAATAAACAGAGTTGTTCTGCGCTCCAGACGTTGAGTAGAGGTGGTTTATGTACTCTTCATCATAGTAGGTGGAAGTGTAAAGAGAAATGAATGGAAAAGACATCTAACCTGGCACTCATGCGGTTCGTTTCCTGGTGGGGCGGAGGTTTCCAGAGCCGTGAGGGAGTGCGCCAGCCGAGCACCTTGGGGTGGGGGCTGCGTGAGTCTTAGTCATGGCATTTTGCAATCAGCGCCAAACCACAGGACCCTGCGTGTGTGGAGCAGTCACACACAGCCTCTCTTCAGGACCTTGCTCTCAGGGAGCTGTGTTTTAAGGTTTCTGTCATGGTTCTGCTGCCCACAGCCTCGTCTCCCAGATCTGTGTCTTGAGCCAATTTGTCTGCCTCCCCCACTTAAACAAGCGTGCTTCCTTCTCGTAATTATGCAATATTTACAAGAAGGGAAAAACTCCATGGTGACCCAGTTACATAACTGTAAAAATATTTTTATTACGAGCTGTCCAGACGCCTGAGCCATCTCGTTAGACTGTCAAGTAGTCAAAGGTTTGAGTGGTTCCTCCTCCCGCAGTGGCACAGGTATTGATGTACTATGATCAGAGTTGGCCCCTCTAATTTGGTCCCCGGGCCCTTTGGAGTCCAGGACGGGGCTATCTCTGGTTGGCATGAGAATAGAGAGCTTGCTGGGGCTCCTCCCGCCGGGTAAGCTGACCACGACCCAGTGTGGCCTTCTCACTGCTCACATCCCAGGTCTCGCTCAGGGAGCTGTTTGCTGAGGGTTGCGCCCTGCCCCGGCCCTGTCTGAATGCTCCTCTGTGCGCCCAGGCTCAGCACAAATCCCAGCTCTTCCTGGCCGCTGTCTGCTCCTCCTCACGAATCCACTAGCATTGCCTGCTTGGGATCCTGGGGGTCTGGCTGGGCTGGACACTCAGCTTCTCAGTCACAGGAATCCCGGGGAAACAGCGTCTGGACCCTTTCAGCCTCTGAGTCTTGCCAGGAGCACAAGTTGCCGCAGGAGCACACTGCCAGCCCCACTCAGTGGCATTCAAGGAAAGAGGGGCCAGGCCTCTCTCTGAGAAGCCTTCTCCCCTGTATATCCTTCCTGGAAGACCAGGACTCAGACATCTAGCTAATGGTATCTGTGTCTCCCTGAAAATGAACACTTTTAAGCCGATGCTCTGCACATGTAACGGAGCCCCTCTCGGTGGTCCGCAGAATCTGCACTCATTTTCCCCCAGTATTTGCGTTCCATTTTATACAGTAGTGCCTAAAGTATAAAAACCAAAACTGAGTATAAATCTCTTGTCTTTAAAACCCCTGTGAGCTTCTCCCATCACTATAAAATAGTCGTGCAAATTGTGTTTACAAGCTGAGTTACCAAACCAATAAAATTCCCGTTAGCAGCATTTGTTTAGTGGGACAGACAGTGTGGTGCTGCTGAGACTGGACTGTCACAGCCACAAAGAACGGGGTCGGGGTGGGGCAGTATGGGCTGAACACATACCCACGGACCAGGCGGTTGCCACGTCCTTCCATCACTGTTCTCTGCTCCGAGACCCTGAGCACAGCCAGTGAGGGTCCTTGAGTGACTGCGCCCTGTGTGTCCATAGTAGATCCTCACTGAATGCTATGGACTGAACCTAAAAAATGGATTATTGATCAGTGAAAGTAACGATCTTTCAAGGTGCAGAGTGGACATTTGTAAAATGAATAGACTTGGTGACTGGGGGTTTTGTTTTGCGGTCGGGAGAAGTGTGTAGATAATCCTGACCCCCTGAAGGTGAGAAAAACCCCCTCCAGCTCCTCACAGGGCTAGCACCGGAGTACCTCTGCACAGCGGTCACTGTGGGATCCTCTGACAGCATCCCTGGGGTTTCAAAACCAGATGTGCTGTTTTTAAGATCAGTGCCACATTTGCCTATTCTGTGTGTACCTTTGTGCTTCATCTGACCTGTCTTTGGGTTTTGAGCTTGTGTTCACCCTATCCAAACTGTGCAAAATGACGAAGACGAGTCTCCTTCTCAGCCTGCCCCTCAGCGCCCTGTTCCTTTTCATTGTATACAGTTAAATTGGAAAAGACCCATAGCTGTAAATCTTATGAGAATACCCATCTTTGTTTCATGAAGCAGCTGATGAACTTGAACTGCTTGCTTTAAGAGTTGGCAACGCAACTCCTTACCACTAAGCCACCAGAGCTGCTCTCTCCCACTCCATGTTATTGTTGTTGTGTACCATTGACTGGGAACCGACCCATAGCTGACCCTCCAGCGGGTTTTTAGAGGTGGTTGATTGCACGGGAGGAGATTGACCATCCTTCTCCCATGGAGCAGCTGGTGGACTTGAACTGTGTGCCTTCAGGATTGCAGCGCAGCTTCTTGATACCAGGCTATCAGATCTCTTTGTCCCGTTCCTTGTTGTTGTTATGTGCCCTCAAATCACCTGCAACCCATAATGACCGTATGTATAGCAGCTCTGAGCCCAGCCCTGTCCTGAGCCAGTCTCACGGATTCCAACACCCCCCTGCCCCAATAGCCCATCACTGTATCAGTGCATCTCATCCGAGATCTTCCTCTCCTGCACTGTCCCTCGACCCTTCCAAACATGATGTCTTTCTCCAAGGACAGGTCTCTCCTAGCCACATGCCTGAAGTATGTGAGACAGAGCTTCAAAATCCTTGGAGAGGAGAAATTTGGTTTCACTCTCTTCAAGACAGACCTATTTGTTTTCTTGGCAGTCCATGGTATGTTCAAGACTCTTCTCTAGAATCGCAACTTGAAGGCATCTATTCTTCTGTCATCCTTAGACATTGGCCAGCTCTCTGATACATAGCAAGTAATTGCAAAGACCATGGCCTGGAATTGGTGGTCCTCCCACTCCATAGAGGCAACTAATTTCTGTCTTAAAAAAAATCCACTGGTTGTGCCTGAGAAAACATGGCGGCTCCCATGTACTCCAGTCCATACTAAAAGGGGACAGCTGCCTGGACGCAGTCCCAGGAGGGGTCAGAAGTCACCAGGCTGTGGGCTGCTTGCAGGGTTCAGACCCAAGCAGTAACCCAGGCCCTAGTCTTTAGGGTGCCAGAGAGAGGGAAAACCAGGCTTTCCTCAAACCAGTAGGGTCTGCAACCTCGAGGTCTCGTCCTCCAGGCTGCCTGTGGATTTGCCAGCCAGAAACAAGCCACAGTCCAGCCCATCCAAGATGATGACCTGCCCCCTTCCATGATGCTCAAAGACTACCAGAACATCCCTGGAATTGACAAGGTTGATGATGCTCTTGTCTTTGGAAATGGCTAACCTGAAGGAGAAGCTAAAAGTCAAGCAGGAGCAGTTGATGAACAAGATTGTGGCAAACGCTGAGGACACCAGATCCCTGGAAGTTTGAATTGTTGTCTTGACTGTCAAGATGCGCAATTATGAAGAACACATGAAGAAACATCGAAAGGACAAAGCCCACAAGCGTTCTCTGCTCATGAGCATCGACCAAGGACAGAAAAAGCTCAAATTCTTCCATAGGACCAACTATGATGTCTTTGAGAAGACGTGCAAGGAGCTGGGGATTGAGTGCACCTTCCCCGCTCTGTGCTACCGAAAGGCCCACCGCCGCTGGGTGGCCAAGAAGTCACTGTGCGCTTGGGTTTTCCAGGAGGCTCAGAAGCTGAAGAAGCAAAAAAGGATCTTAAAAGCTATAGCAGCAGCCCAGAAGCAAGGCCAGAAAAGCTCAGATGGGGCCTTCAGAAGCCAGACTACATACATGCAAAGAAAATCAATCAATTCTGTTACAATTTAAAAAAATTCAAATGTATATATATTAATAAAGAAAATAATTTTAAAGCTGAAGGTTCAAACAGGTGAAAATCACATTTCCTTTCTACTCGTGGTCAGTCTGCTAAGCTTTATCCCAGTGACAGCAACAATTACAGGTTTCTGTGTCCTTCCAAAGATGCTGTGTGCCAGTGGTCCTCAGCCAGGGGAAGTTTCACCTCCCAGGGGACATTGGCAATGCCTAAAGATGGTTTTGGTTGACAGCTTGGGGGCGGGATTGTTACTGGCATCTAGTGGACGAAGGCCAAGAGTCCTGCTGCTGAATGTCCTCTGGTGCACCGAGAGCCCTTCACAGGCGAGCGTGATCCCGCCCAGGAGGTCTGTGTTCCCAGGTACCCTGTGTGGTATCTGTTTTATAACTTTTACGTTCTTAAAACAAAATCACAGGCGAGTCTCCGCCCACTTTTCTGGCCTGTTTCAATACCTTGATTCCTAATGCTGTGGCTCTCAGGTCGTGGGGCTGGAGTAGTAGGGCCGTCGCAGACAGCTCAGGGCCTTCTGGTTGTGTCCTGGTGTGATGGGGCTGTCTTTGTTGTGTGCAGGTTTTTCTCCCACTGTTTGCACAACTCTCACGGCTGCTGTGAGACCTGGGGTACTGAAACCCTCCAGGAAGTCAGGAGTCCATTCCAGGAATGGCGTCCATGTCACCTAACCTTTGCCTTGTCCCTGACTTCCTGTTCCTGTGTAACTACAGTTTAGGATGCTGCTTTCTACTTCTCATAATCGAATTTGACACAGAAATGCCGGTGTAAAGGAAGACGGCTGCTGGTGTGTCTCTTCCTTTCCCGCGCGACTCCATTTCAGCAGAATTTGGGCTCACTCAGCCTTGAGTGGTGGTCGTGCTTTAAAGTGTTTCCTTCCTGTGCCGGGCAGCCAGCCAGACAAGCAACAGTCTGAGTGAGGGACAAACTTCAGAAAGGGAAAGATGCAACTCTTTCTTCTACGTGTGGTCTGGATCACAGTGATCAGCTTATTGCTGACATCTACAACCCACCTCTGTTGTTTCAGAGCGAGAAAAGGGGAGGTTGAGGAACTGCACACTTGTAATGCAAGCTCTGTTTCCTCTTTTCCTCAGGTCTTCCTAATTATCCATCATGCAGCCCTGGTAAACTCATTAGCTGAGGTCATTCTGAATGGCGATCCATCTGAGATGCACGCTAAGCCTGAGCAGGACATTCCGAGAAATTCTGTAAGTCAGTAGCTTTGGGATTGTCTTTTGACCTTGATAAGAAGGCTGACTATAGAATTAGAAACTGTCATTCTGCTCACGGAGAGTGACAGTCCCTCAGCAGCCCAGCCACTGAAAACCGGACGGAGTACAGTTCTGTGACACATGTGGTGCTGTCAGGAGGGGGAATCGACTCTATTGGGCTTTTTATTTGTCATGAAATTTCCCCCCAGCAATGTCTGGGATTGGGCACTAGTAACAGACGTGATTGATTATATGTTAATGAATATGAGCTGTATCTCTCTGGGCTTCAGGTTGCATATTCCAGAAACACTGATACTGGGACAGAATGAGAGAGTATGTGAGAAAGTATTATGTAAAAGTTCCCTAGGGAGCTGTGGTAGCTTCGTCGTAAGAAACTGCACTGCAATCCTGAGGGCACATGGTTCGAATCCACTAGCTGTTCCACTGAAGGATGGACAGTCACCTCTCGTGCATTTCACTGCCTCTGAAACGCCTCTGGAGGGCCAGCTGTAGGTTGGTTCCAACTTGATGTCACACAACGATATAAACAAGGTACAGATAGCCACAGGGGCTAAGCAAAGAGCATTTAGGAATGAAGCAGGACTGTGTGAGACAGTAGGGAACGGTGGGGACTGTGACACATTGTTGTTGTCAAGTACTCTAGAGTTGAAACTGACACATAGCTGACCCACCAATGGATTTTCAGAGGCAGTAGATCACAGGGGAGGAGATTACACATCTTTCTCCTGTGGAGCAGCTGGTAGATTTGAACCTCATGCCTTGGGGTGGCAATGCAGTTCCTTACCACTAAGCTAGCAGAGCTTAGCTATTTCTTCAGTGAGCTGTTTCACCAGCTGTGCTTGCTCTGTAGGAATATAGATGCAGTATTGCCAGGCCTTCTCATGTTGCCAGAGATGATGGCAGTCTGCACTTTAATATAGAATGTCCTTACTTTTCAGTTCTCAAACTGTGATCTACACAGAGCATCACTGTGGTCTGTAGGAGCCTACTGGCTGTACTTTGCTACAGGAAAGCGCCTGAGGAGCAGTAGCGCTGCTTCTCTGCGGACGGCCCAGCCTGACCCTACGTGTCTTTTCGTTTCCCCTCCTGTCATTGCCATCCCACACACAGGGTGTAGTGTCTGCAAATACAGGCCACCCGACCGCTGACTGGCTCCCTGTGCTGCTACCTCTGCATCTGGATCCTTTCTGTACCTGCAGCCTGATTTTCTCTTGTCCAAGATCTTAATCCCTCAGAATTCCTTAGGGCAGGCATCTTCTCTGTCAGACATTGTCTGGGCTCCACATGTGTATTTGAGATGAGCATATTATGTTTACACAAACACCGTTTTAGGGGTGCTCCGTCTCTGCAGTCAGGTGCTCTGGCAGCATCCGGCAGGAGAAAGGGCCGGGCTCACCTGGTGCAGGTGACTTTCCTGCCATACCTGAAGTGAGTAGAATCTGATACTGCTGCCTGAGAATCTTCAGTTGCTGGGAGTACAGAAGGGCTTCTGCCCTTCTGGTTTTTCAGCATATAATGGTTTGGCCTGTCCGGTTTGCTATTCAAGGGAGCATTAGAGTCACTGAAAAGATTCCCAGAAACTTTCTGTCCTTGGTGTTGGTGGCACTGGTTCAGCTGAATTGAATGGAGCCTTTTTAATGGCCCTCGTCTGGTTTATTCCTTTATTGATTCATTCAACAAATGTTTCCTGAGCTGTTTGGGCCAGGCATTGTGCTGATTCTGGGCATCTACTGTATAAAAAGTCTCTGTTTCAATGGAACTTCCCAGTCTAGTAGGAGAGATAGATGCTGACAAGAAACGCAGGGAAAGGGTGGGGCAGTGTTTAATGAGAGGATTTAAGCTAGGGGTGACCAAGGGTCACAGGCAAGTGTTGACGAAGGAAAGACTTCTCTAGGTGTTCCTTTTTATGACAAGAGTTCGACCTGGAAAATGGAGAGTTGATTCAGTGTTTGCGTAGCTGGAGAGATTTCTTACCAGCCTTAAATTAGCTTATGTTGAGTAAATGCAAGGGATGGAATGTCTACTCAGTGGAATCCCCAAGGCCACTCAGTGACCCTCACCAAACATCCTGCCTACTGGTTGCTCTCAGCATGCTGCTTCATCTAGCTAGAAGGTGGAGAGTAAGCCCTACTCAGGTGAAGGTCACTTCATGACATATAAGGGAGCTCTGGTGGCCTAGTGGCAAGAAGCTGCATTGCAATCCCAAAGGCATGTGGTTTGAAGCCACCAGCCAGTCCGTGGGAGAAAGGTGGGCAATCTCTCCCATGCGATCAAGTGCCTCTGAAAGCCCACTTGAGAGTCAGCTATGTGTCGGTTCCGACTCTACGGTACATCACCACCACAACATGACATATAGATATTTGTATATATATAATTTTTGTTGTTGTGTTGTTGTTATGTGCTGTTGAGTCCCTTGCGACTCATAGCAATCCTATGTACAAGAGCCCTAAACCTTGCTTTATCCTGTGCTAATCTCACTGTCTCCAACACACATACTCCTATTACCCCAATTACTGAATCCATCTCATCGAGGGTCTTCTCTTGTGCTGTCCTTCTACCCTCCCAAACATGATGTCTCTCTCCAAGGACTGATCCCTCCTTGCATTATGCCCTAAGTATGTCAGATGAAGCTTCAGAATCCTTGCCTCCAAGGAGGAGCCCAGTTTCACCCTCTCAAGGGCAAATCTGTTTGTTCTCTTAGCAGGCCATGGCATATTCAATACTCTTCTCCAGCACCACAGCTCAAAGGCATCAATTCTCTTTCTATCATCTCTAGTCATTGTCCAGCTCTCTGATGCATAGCATGCAATTACTAGGACGATGGCCTGGATCAGAAGCACCTTAGTCTCCAACATGACGTCGTTGCTCTTTAGTACTCTGGAGAGGTCCCTGACAGCTAACTTTCCCAATGCAATTCTTCTCTTGATTTCCTGGCTGCTGGTACCAAGAGTGTTGATTGTGGAGCCAAGCAAACGAAAACTATAACAATCTCAATCTCTTCACCATCCATAATGATGTTGCCAATTTGTCCAGTTCGGAGAATCTTCATTTTCTTGATGTTGCGCTTCAATCCATATTGAAGGCTGTAGTCCTTGATCTTCTGCAGCAAGTGCTTCAGGTCCTCAGTTTCAGCAAGCAGAGTTGTGTCATCCCCATAACACAGGCTGTTGATGAATCTTCCACCAATCCTGATGCCACATTCCTCCTTTTACAGCCTAGCCTCCCAGATGATCTGTTCTGCATACAGATTGAAAAGGTATGAAGACAGAATACATTCCTGGAGGACATCCTTCCCAATTTTGAACCATACAGTTTCTCCTTCTGTTCTGACGACTGCCTCTTGGTTCAAGTATAGATTTCACATAAACACAATCAAATGTTCTGGGATTCCCATTCTTCTCAGAGTCAGCCATAGCTTGTTGTGATCCACACAGTATAAATAAAGCCTTTGCATAGTCAATGAAGTACAGATAGACATTCCTCTGGTTCTCTCTGCTTTCTGCCAAGATCCATCTAACATTAGCTATAATACCCCTAGTACCACAGCCTCTACTAAACCCAGCCTGCACTTCAGGCAGTTCTCTAATGATGTGCTGTTCCAGCAGTTTTTGGATAATTTACAGCAAAATCTTGCTTGCATGTGATATTTGTCCTTTTGTGACTGGGATATTTCACTCAGCATAATGTTTTCCAGAGTCAACCATTTTGAATAATACTGCATGAGTTCCTTGTTTTTCAATGCAGCATAGTCTTCCATTGTGCGAATATACCACAGCTTCTCTAGCCATTTGTTTGTTGATGGGCACTTAGGTTGTTTCCAACTCCTTGCTATTGTGAACAAAGCTGCAGTAAACATGGGTGTGCATATATCTGCTTGGATGTCAGTTATGGTCTCTTTGGGGTATATTCCCAGTAGTGGAATTGCTGGGTCAAATGGTATCTCTATTTGCAACTTTTTGAGAAAGCGCCATACCGCTTTCCACTGGGGTTGCACCATTTTACACTCCCACCAACAGTGAATAAGGGTTCCAGTTTCTCCACAACCTCGCCAGCATTTGTTGCTTGCTGTTCTGTTAAATTTTACTATTTTGACTGGGGTGAGATGATATCTCATAGTTGTTTTAATTTGCATCTCTCTTAGAGCTAGGGATTTTGAACATTTCTTCATGTATTTGTTTGCTAGATAGAATGTCATCTTCGGTGAAGTGCCTGTTCATATCCTGTGCCCATTTTTCTATTGGATTATTTACCTTTATTTTGTTGTGGTGCTCAAGTATTTCATAAATTCTGGATCCAAGTCCCTTATCTGATATGTTATTACCGAATACTTTTTCCCAGTCTGTGGCTTCCCTTTTTACCCTGTTGGAGAGGTTTTTGGATGTGCATAGGGATTTGAGTCATAGAAGATCCCATTCATCTACTTTATTTTCTCCTGGTTGTTTTCAGGATACTTGGAAGACTGTTTATGTTGTGGATTAGGACTTCTAGTGTTGTTCCTATGTTTTCTGTAATGACGTTTATAGTCCTTGGTTTTAGTCCTAGGTCCATGATCCACCTTGAGTTGGTTTTTGTGTATGGATTGAGGTGTGGGTCTTGCTTGAGTCTTTTGCAGATACTTTTCCACCAAAGCATCTTTAAGTTTTGCCATTGGTGGCTTGAATTTGTTTTTCAATTCCTTCAGCTTAAGAAATGCTGAGTGAGTTCGACCCTTTTGATTTTCTCACTCCAGCTCTTTGCTCATCTTTCTGTATATATATGATATATGGTCATTTATCACCCCAACATTTTCATCCCCTCCAGATGGTTTCCTGGGTTGCTGCTATTCCAGTGTAATATATGCCACTACCTGCTTGGGAACACCTGAATCGGAAGACACTAGCCTCATCCTGCCAATCCTATCACCAGAGTGTTCTTGAGACATAGATGTCTCTCCATGTTTTCTCTTGATTTCAGCATGCCTTCCATTACAAAAAACA